AAGCGCGCAAAAGGAAATTTATTTTAATCCTCGCGTCTGCGAATTTTTCATTCATTAACTTGCGTAATTTATCAAATCGCACAATATTTTTTTTTTATTCAGATAATATCTTTATATAATAGAAGATATCGAGAGACATGAAACTGATAATTCTGGAGTCAGATTTTTAATTTTGTCCTCATTTTTTTATCACAAATAAAAGGAAATTGATAAATATATCATAAGTCACTATAAAAATAAAGCGCGCAAAAGGAAATTTATTTTAATCCTCGCGTCTGCGAATTTTTCAGTCATTAACTTGCGTAATCTGTCAAATCGCACAATATTTTTTTTTTTATTCAGATAATATCTTTGTACAATAGAAGATATCGAGAGACATGACACTGATGATTTTGGATCCAGATTTTTACTTTGAATTTTGTCCTCATTTTTTTATCACAAATAAAAGGAAATTGATAAATATATCATAAGTCACTATAAAAATAAAGCGCGCAAAAGGAAATTTATTTTAATCCTCGCGTCTGCGAATTTTTCAGTCATTAACTTGCGTAATCTGTCAAATCGCACAATATTTTTTTTTGGTTTAGATAATATCTTTGATGTAGAATAAAAGACATCGAGAGACATGAAATTGGTGACTCTGGATCCAGATTTTCACTATCAGTCTTGTTCTCATTCTTTTATCACGAATAAAAAAAAATTGATAAAAAATATATCATAATGAAGGAACTTTCGCAGAAATGGCATTAAAAATACGTATCTAATACCGTTTATTCGTCCTGTTCGAATATACACCTGTTGATTCTGGTAAATTGAGGCGAGTCGTTTAGCGAGCCAAGCCATTTCGCGGCAAAGCAAAGGTTCAAAGTGTGTGCATTATCGTTATCGTGGCGCTACGTACAATTGCAAGGGCATCGCTTTGGTGAGCCACAACTAATCGAGAATGGCATCGAGACGCACGTATTAAATAATCCCGAATAAACGGCTTTATCTACTTCCTGGTCACGATAAACCGTAACAATTTACCTATCGTCATCAGAGTTCATTCTTGATGCTTTGAAAAATGCACTAAATAATAATACCAAATAATACAGTATTAATATAAATGACATCACTTGAAATATCTGCAGAGGAAATCATTAAACCTCGAAAAGAGACCACTTAATTCTTCAGCTCTAAAATGATTAAAGCAGAATTGATTGCTGACGCACGAATGCGGGATTAAACCTCGTAATGGGAGACTGCGTATCGTAATGGTGTAAATTTGGAATCGGGGTTCACGAACCTCCACACAGGCAGGCGAAACCTAAATATTTGGAACGGCAGCTCGCGTAAACGTCCGCTATTCGTCGAAAATGGTTGGGCTATGCAAAGCTGTACTTAGCTCTTTTCCCTCGAGCACATCGCGAGAGGAGAGCGAGAGAAGGCTCTGTGTACTTATACAATACTTGGTGTACTTAAACCAGTCGCATCGGTCTTTAGCGCGATGAGTACGTCAGTCGGTTTTCGCAAACGGAGCCATATGTTTCATAATCCTTTACGGGCCGCGTGTTAGGTTTATTTGCACGGCGAATAATTTTAAACAGATCCGCCAAAGAGCCTCGGACTTTTATCCCAATTTCTTGATAATGAGCCAATGGTAAAGTAACGGAGCAGTCCATAAATGGTGCAGCACAAGTTTCAGAGGCATATTTTTAGCGGACATAGATAACTTTTTTTTATCAAAAAGAACTTCGATACAAAACTTCTTCTTTTCTGATAATAAAGAAGGATATATCAGAGGGTAAACCTTGACCGTTCTGACCTAATCTACGACTTGACGCTAATCTGACCTAAACATTGCTCCGCAATCTTCTTAAGAAGAGTTTACATGCAGATATCAAAGTTGAATTATTTCTCGGTTTCTCAAATTTATTAAAAAAAATTCCTTTAACAAACAAGAGGAATAGATAATTTAATTCTTGCATATGAGTCCAGTCCAAACTCCAAAAAAAACCGTATATCTTAAATCGTTCATAACTGAAGATCTCTTTAGAATATTTTTACATAAATAAATCTATAACAAAGACCGGCGAATGTGAAAGTAAAAGTGATTGTACAGCTGTATGAAATATTTGGAATGAGATGCAAATCATTCCGCGAAATCGGGGCATATCTTAGTGAGACGTCTGTCTTCTCGGCGACGCACAAACGAGGCATAATTCCCGGCAGATCGCCCTCTCGCACGCGTAATCGCAGAATTATGTCACGACGTAGCTGCGCGAGGATTCCTCCTCGGCGAGGCTGACGCTGGATTACGTCATGTATGTCGATGCGTGGAAACAGGGAGAACCTGTCGCCTGCGTTACACATATTTGGTAGGATATCGTTATGCGACGAGATCTCGCGATCAAACGCGCAGAACGCGTCTCGCGAGACACCAGATACCAGCCATAAATAATTTAAGAAGGTATTGACAGAATAAAAAAAAATTACCTTTATTATAATAATCATTTTCAGACATTTAACGATAAATTTAATTGTTGGAGAAGGAAAGATTTTGCCAAACCGTTCTTCTGTATATTTTTTATTTTTATGCATTGCGTACGCGTTCTGGTGTAAGAAATGTGATTCTTCTCTGACGTAAGAAAGAGGAGAAATAAAGCCGCGCGATGAGAAAACCGAGAGGACCAGAAGACGGGGAATCAACTTGCACGCTCGCATTTGCTGAGATTGCCAGGAGAAGACGCGTTAAGCGATCCCACGCACTTAAGTTAATTGCATGAGTTACGCTGACGACGCGATATTGATATTACGGGATAATGTGCGCGCGTAAATTACTACTTGGCTAAGTAGTAGCGACACCGCAAATTTAGATAGTTTGATAGTGTTTTGCCCCATTCATTAGGGATAATCGCAGTCTGTTTAGAACGCTATTTAGCGTTCTTTTAAGATTTGCAAAAATTTAATTAATAATAAAATATTAAAATTCGTAATTTAAATTTATCTTATAATTAAAATCACGTAAAATTCAGTAGTTACATAAATAAAAATAAGTCTTTAATGTGAGGAATTGAGAGAATACATTTCATGTTTTTATTTTCCAGTCTTATTTTATTTATTATTAATAATAGAATAAGTTTCACGCATATTATATGTATGTATTCCTTTTACTAGGAACGAGGAAAATTACTTTGCTCATTCTTATATTCCGTCGCAATCTAGAGCCGCATATTTTCAAATCTTCTCTATCGCGATATTTAACTAGAACGACATCGCGCTTCACAGTAACATAATGACGACATTGAGATTATGCAGCAGCGGTTATATCATTGCATAAGTAAAGATAGCCTTGAGACACCACCGAAGCTTTTAGAGCTTAAAAAGTCCCTCGGATCACGTTTATCACACCGTACGAATTCTTGCAGTCGCATTTAAACGAATTTTAAACGAAACAATTAATGCCATAGGTAAATAGCGTTCTAAAAAATTACATAATAATTCGAATACATAATCAAAAAATTCTCGTACATTATTTCGCCAAATTTATTTTCCAAATATAATTCTCTGGCTGTATTATTCAGTTCTCTCTCACTCGTCAGGTGCGATCTGTGAATTCCTGAGTCTTAAGAAAAAAAGCATCGTATTCCGAGACAAACGATAAGGTGTCGTATGTAAGCTGCTAAGAACAGGAAAGAGGCACGTGCAGGGAAATCACGAATAAGCGAAGGAGAGGAACGAGAAACGATGCTTGGACGATGTTACGAAGGTTCCCTGAAAGTCGGTCCTAGAGTGCGTCGTTGACACAAGCGCGGAACTTTCATCTACAAGGCAAATGTGTGGAAGCACGATTCCGTTTTCGTCCTCTTCTACGTTATTCAAATAGAGCGCGGCCTTCGTAACTCACTGGCGTAGTAGCGGGATTATCGCGATATTAAATCTCCGCTATCGAAAAATCTCTGATGAAAATTTAAACAAGAAACGCCATCTCTGCGCGCGAATAAATTTGCTCATACGAGAAGTAAATAATTTAAATGTAAAAATATAAATATATCGATCGTCGATTACACATCCATATTTTTAAAATGTGTAATTATTAAAGAGAATAAAAATATATTTATTAGGCTCAGGTATTATAAACTTTATAATATTTAAGATTTAGAAAAGATCCACGAATTCTAAAATATAGAATCTTAATTATAATATTTAAATTATAATTAAGATTAAATTATAATTAAGACATGTAATTATTAAAGAGAATATATTGATTAGGCATTCAGATAGATTGTAAATTTTATAATATTTAAGATTTACAAAAGATCCATCAACTCCAAAATATAGAATCTTAATTATAATATTTAAATTATACTTAAGATTAAATTATAATATTTATTTTCATATCGAGGAACAAAAGAAATATATGAAAAATATAGTACTTGTTTATAAACAGCCTCTTTCATCGTTGCTTTTAATTTCAATCGACAGGCTCTGCGCCGTTGGTCGCAATCAGTGTGCTCTTCCTCTTCAGTAGTCCCTGTCCTCGATTCCGATTTTTTTTAACGATATAACAAAGCCGTTTTTAATCAATTTTTATCGCGACCCTCGCAACAAGATCCGTTGCAGATATTTTATTTCCACCCTAGATAAATGTAATTTATCAAGTTGCGTAATATACGTTTTCTGTTAGTGCGCAGCATGTATTTTTCAATTATCGTTGCGAGGAGTTGCTGCGACATTCATCGTTAATGAAGTAGCATTTGCGAGAGCATGAAATTAGAAATATTAAACTTGGTGAAGCTCTTTCAAGAGCTTTTATTTTCCACGACTTTATACACGTCCTCAGGACAAATAAAATTTCATAAATCTCGATTCGATCGAGATTTACGTACTAAACCGTCTCTGATGAAATCCGTATTTAAATCGATTTAAGATTTTCTCGGAATTATTAATGAAATAGAATTTCATACATCGAGTCCTTTAAAGAAATTTTCTAACGACTATCCTTACAATATATGTTTCAGAAGTGCAAAGATTCGTACAAATGCAATTGTACCGGAGTAAAAGGGCTGAGAGGGATTTCTGGAATATCTGGGCCTCAAGGAACAGAAGGGCTCCCGGGTGACATCGGACCTGATGGACCCATCGGACCTAAAGGCGAGAAAGGAGCAGGAGGAGAACCTGGAGCAACCGGCGAAAAGGGGCATCGAGTGAGTAAATTAATTTTTCATCGTGATGTAATTTTATAATATGAGTCTCCTAGTTTTGCAGTAATATAAGTGCATCGGTAATATAAAATAGATAGAGTTTCAGAGATATAAAATATGCGATTTAAAATTAAATTGAATTTTTTTAACTGTCATATTAGTTACCAAAAATATTCACATAAAACGTGTCCCATTTTATATTTTTATGTTAAAAAATTTAAGTAAATTTAAGTATGCAAATTCTTTTTTAAAAAATCCGTAACAATCGATTTGTATAAGTTTTTTATTGTTACAAATTTACAATCTATATTATGATTTTGAGTTATTAAAATAACTCACGTAGAAAGATTTATTACAAATATTAATATTTTTAAAAATTATATATATTTTTAAAAATATTAATATTTTTAAGATTTATTACAAATATTAATATTTTTAATTAATATTTTTTTTTAATCTCTTATGCAAATATATAAAATGTTCATAGAGTATTCGAATATGCAAATGAATTTTTTTATCATGTGTGTGCTTCTAATACAATAATTTGTTTGTATATTTTAACATACATGTATGAGAATGATGACTAAACCAATTACAATGGTAATTAGAATCCTTACAAGCGATGGTTTCACATTTTAATTAAAGTTCGCGACACGATACGGGGATTTGTTGGTCATGATAACTGTTTTAATAAAGTAATATAATTAATTTCATGGATATATTATACATTAATGTGAATATCTATCTAAAAAAAGAATCTCATTTTAACAATTTATATTATTTATATAGATAGCATAACGCGATAAGAAATATATGTATTAAAAAGTTTATCTTTAGAAACTCTAAATTTTATTTTATCATTAAGTTTTTAATTAAAATTAATTATGAACAAAATGAACATTTTATAACGTAATAATCCTCTTTTTTGCGATATTGAAAACGCCACAAGTATTATTTACGCAATTTTAAAAGATTATCGCTATTAATCTTATTATTAAAAAACATAACAAGTTATTATTATTATTATAAAAGTCGAAACCATTATTGTATTATTTTATAATCTTGGCTGCCGTTATTAATTGCCAAGAAGCTTCTCTCTCTTTTTCTCTTTTTCCTTTTTGTAATTAAAATTATCAAACGATTTTTCGCAATCGTAATTCACACAAACTCTTATTAATTTTTTCGTTGATTAAGTCTTTATTTATTAAAAAGCTTTGAATTTTGTATAAAGGAGGTAAAATAGCAATATGAATTCTCATAGAAGTGACATTGACATATGTCAATTGTATAATTATTTTATTGAAATGATAGAAATGTAGATTTCTCTTTTTCAAAATTTCTAGATATTAATTAGATCTAGATTTTTATAAATTTTAGTTAATTTTATTTTAAAGTTTATCAAACAATTTATATTCTCAATTATTTTGCTCAACAATCGATTTGCTACTTCACTCGGAAACCGCATATGTTAAACGACTTAAATAACTCACAAACCAGAATTCATCTCTAAAATTATACGCGCGATTATTAAAGATGAGAAAAAAGAGTATCTCTTTAATTGGATCGTCGAGAACGAAAGGATTGAAAAACGCTGATGAGAATGGCAGACTTTATTCGTTATTCGCATTCTCGAGCCCCTATTCGAATGAATTCGATTGTTCGCCGCAACATATGTTCGAATGAAACGAAAAAAAATAGAATGAAAACGATGAAAAAGAAACGTGGCGTCACCGGCCAGAAACAGAACGCTTCCAAATGCGGAGGAAGAGGGAAGATCGTGAACACGGGCCAAGGAATTACGGACGGACGGACACCCACGATGACCGCCCGCACTACCGAGAATTGTTACTCGCTGCGTGTCTGCCTGCGTTTCGCAATTTGTCGGCCGGCATCGATGTGCGACACCGTCCGATATGATATGAAGTGGAGATAACCGGTAGAAATCGCTCCAATTAAAGATGTTATGCGGTCGACATTGCGACAGTCCCGCAATTATCCTAATTAAATAAATTAAAATACGCAGTATGTTCCTCTAAATTTCTCGAATAAATTTTGCAGGCATCTTTGCGTGTTTGATCAAGCATCTTTAATCATAATTTATTATAAAGTATCAAAAAATGCAAAATAAATGAGTACGTATTATTATGATGATGTTATTTTATAGTAGAATTAAATTAAATCTGAATTTATAGAAATAAAATTCAATATATTTAATTCAATATTTTTAATTCAATATATTTTATTTAGACGCTTTCAATTAATGTATGAATTATTAATGCATAAATTATATTTTATGCAGAAAATCATTTGGGGCAGACTGTCTGCCCCAAAAGTTGATTGCAAATTTAAGAATAAAATCTGACACGATTTTAAATTAATATACCATCTTTTTATTAGAAGTTAGAAGCTAAATTGCACGCTTCAATTATGTATAATTTTTTTGTAATTTTAAATATAAATTCTAAAAAATATAAATTAATATATAATAAATAAAAAATATAACAAAAAATATAAATCAATATAAAATAAATTAGTTATTATAATAAATATGAATTACATTATATTATACTCGATAAATTAACATACATGTAATATATTCCATTTTTATTTAAACCATCTTTCACGTGTTCCATTTTCGAAATTTTTATTTTTTTATTCGCTCTCGATCAACTATTTCTAAGCTGTCAATACGAAATTCATCATTCAAAAAAAAAAAATTTCCAGAAAAAATTTACCGCGCCATCGACAATCAAGCAGCATTTAAAATTCGTACGAAAAATAAAAATTTGATAGAACAATAGAAATGTCTTTTTTTACAGTTATATTTTTATCTTACATATTGTAACTTTTATATGTAAAATAAAAATTGCAAAAACGGATAAAACTGACTTGATGAAAAATATTATTTTGCAAAGACTTGAATACACATTAGACTAACAAAATTAAGTCGCGGTAGAAATGTATTATATACATACGCGTTATCGTGTAGAATAATTTAGCGTCGCAATTGTCGAAATGTCACGAATAAATAAAATGTTACAACCACGTGTGGTATGACAAGAGCGTAGTGTGACAAGAGTGTTGGTACTTGTAGTGACACAGCCGCACTGACACATCTCGCGTTTATTAATCGCGCGAGGGCGCAAATTATTCATTCGCGTGTGGACTGCGAAATAGATGTCAATCTTTGTAACTGAAATTTCGAGTTAAATCCCCTACAAAACGATTAAAATTGCATGACTTACTCTTTATTATTTATTATTCTCTTATTCTCGTCATCTATTGATTGCAATAAGTGTATTATACAATATTCCAAGAAATAAATTAGAGAACGAGAACGGAATTTGTTAATTTAAAAAAAAATTAAATTCTTATTTTATTTCTTTAATTAAAAAGGAATTAAATTTTTATTTATTTTTCTAAGAATTTAACCGACCAAAACTAAAAATACGATATCAATTGACTCTCAGAGATATGCAAGATAAAATTTTATTCTTTGTTTAATCTCAAACATGAAGAGAATTTGATAACTTCTTCATTTGAAAAATTAAGAAAGATTGCTGGATGTTTTTAATTTTAATGACATGATTGGAAATGATATAAATTATGATGTAGATACCTTTTATTTCCCAAATAATATTGGAACGTTTGATCATTGTATCTATCTTTTCAAAATTCTTTTATAATCATTTCAAAATTTAATCGAGAACGATTATTTTTGTCACAAAAGACGTTAAAGCCTTGATTTATTTATTATTTGCTGGTTCAATAAACGTTTAATCAAAGAAGAAATTTGAAGAAAAACAGGAAATAGAAGATGCTTGTCGCATCAAACAATTCTCTTTTCACTCGTTTAGGAAACTTTCAGTCGTGACAAACAGGAAGAAGCCGCCATTGTCATAAATTCATTACGCAAGAATGAAAATTCTGGTTATTATTACGGACCATCGTGTTGCCGCATGTGCCACAATTTGCCAATTACACGCAGCGCGTCGCACGTTCTCATTTGCGGCGTGCATCGCTTGCTAATTATGTTACATCGATCGTTCGACCGTGGTGCCGTTAACTTGCATCTTCGATCAACGAAATATAATTGGACTCTCCGTATAATAGAATCTGAAGATGGTTTTAATTCGAACATTACCTCCAAAATTTCAAAATGGAATTTCAAAAATGTAAAACGATACAATAATAATAATAAAGTGAAAGATGCGCGAGGAATCTCTTATCTCTCTTTAATGGAAAATCGAAGAGAGAAAAACGCAAAAGTATGAAAAACACTAACACGTAGAACCCACGTTGTGAAGATAAAAATAATGCGAGTCCATGATTTGTTAAGATCTGACTTGGATCTTACAAATTGCAGACTTATCTTATTTTTCCGCCAAGAAGCTTTAATTCAGCAGATAAATAAAAATCGATAGCCTACATAGAAGCAGAAAATATCAAGGCTGAGAAAGAAGAAAAGAGGTATCTTCGAGAAAAAAAGAGAGTGACCTTATCCCGGCGAGGCAACTGGCCATTTAAAAGGTGCGAGGCATGGCGAATTATGCATTCATTACCGTAATGAACGACGCTTCGATTCGCGTTTATCCTTTCTTCTTCTTTTTCTTCTTCTTCTTCTTCTTCTTCTTCTTCTGCGACGAGTCTTCTGCGGCTTCCTCGTTTCTCTTTTTTTTTTACCTTAATATGAACGTACGCCCGGATTACATCAGGCGCGCCTCTTTTCCCTGGAAGGGAAGATGACGTCACAACCCTTTCAGGCCGGCCAAAGAGAAGAGAAGTGTACCGTACGATCTCTTGTATTGCAGCTGCGACTCGCCACTGTCGACTTGATTTATGGGGTCTTTACAGATTTTTGTTTAAAAAAAATTCGTCCCCTTTTTCTCTCTTCTCCGAGCATCTTGGAATTTATCGGACCCCCCGAGATTTTTAATGCCGTTCCCTGTACCGCTCCTCGTCTTAAGCCACTTTGTCGCGGAACGAGGACATTGATGGACTCT